ATCTGTCAATTCCTTTCATTACAATGACTCAGTATATTCCTTCCATCTTCTTTTAATACCCCCTGGATCATTTAACATTCTGCCTAAAGCATCCTTGATTGTAGCAACTAGAGGTTTGAATTTGTTCTTCAGTTCCTTGAGCTTAAGAAATGGTGAACGAGTTCGGCCTTTTTGATTTTCCGACTCTAGCTCCTCGCCCATTTCATTGTAATATTTTGCTTTGTCACTCCGTGCTGCCTTTTGGAATCTTCTGTTCAGCTCTTTAGTGTCTTGGATTTTTCCTTGTGCTTTGGCTTTTCTACGTTCCAGTGCAATCTTCAGAGTTTCTTCTGACATCCATTTTGGTCTTTTCTTCCTCTGCTGTCTTTGTAATGACCATTTGCACTCTTCCTGGATGATGCATTTAATATCCTCCCACAACTCATCTGGCCTTCGCACATTAGTGTTCAAGGCCTCAAACCTGTTGCTGAGATGACTCTGAAATTCAGGTGGTATGAAATTAAAGTCAGGAGGAGCTAAAAAAAACAATCCAGAACAATGCAGATAAAACAAATGAGGCACTAGCAGCACTGGAAAAATAAGAAACCATGATCCTTCTCCTTCCTCTTGATATGTTTGGTTATTGCTATAAATTTACCTTTGATTACTGCTTTGGCTGTTTCCCAGAGATTGTGGTGAGTTGTTTTCATTGTCATTTATTTCAAGAAACTTTGTAATTTCATTTTTATTTCTTCTAGTACCTACTCATGTTCAAGCAAGGTGTTGGTCAGCTTCCAAACGTATGTTTTTTTTCTCCTTCATCCTCTTGCTATTAATTTCTAATTTTGTAGCATTCTGGTCTGAGAAAATGCTTTGCATTATTTCTATATTTTTTTAATTAATTGATGCTTTCCTTGTGATCTATTCTGGGGAATTTTCCATGCACTTTGGAGAAGAAGGTTCACTGTGATTTTGGGGGGAGGTCGAGTTGATTTATCATGTGGTTTAATTCTTGAGCATCTTTGTTGAGTTTTTGCTGGTAATTCTAGCTTTTCTTAAGAATGGTATATTAAAATCTCCAACTACTATAGTAGTGTTGTCTATTTACTTTTTCAGTTTTGTTACTGTTTGTTTTATATATTTTGCAGGTCTTTCATTTGGTTCATAGATATTTATTATTGTTATGTCCTCTTGTTCTATTGACCCTTTAAGCATTATGTAGTGACCTTCTTTGTCCTTTGTGATGGTTTTTGCATTGAAATTTATTTTATCGGAGATTAATATCTCTACTCCTGCTTTTTTTCTGGTTGCCATTTGCTTGGTATATTTTTTCCATCCTTTATTTTTTGTCTTTCTTTATCTTTGCTTTTCAGATGTTACTCTTGTAGACAGCATATTGATGGATTTTGTTTTTTATCCTATCTGCTACTCTTTTTTTCTTCAGTGGTGCATTTAAACCATTCACATTTAGTGTGATTATTGAAAAGCAGGGCTTTATTGCTATCATTTTGTTGAGTTCTTTTTGGTGTTGTTCCTAGTTACTTTGGTCCATACTGCTTTCTGTGGTACCTCTGTAAGAAGGACATCTCTCAGTGTTTCCTGCAACATTGGTCTTGTTTTTATAAAGTCTCTTAGGTTCTGTTTTTCTTGGAATATCTTGATGTCTCCTTCATATTTGATGGACAGTTTTGCTGGTTACAGTATTCTTGGTTGACAGCTGTGTTCTTTGAGTGTCTGACATATGTCCTTTCACTCTCTTCTTGCTCATATAGTTTCTGCTGAGAAATTGGCACTTAATCTTATCTGCTAGGTTACTTTTTGTTTTTTCCTTGCTGCTTTCAGAATTCTCTCCTTATCTTTGGTTCCAAAGAGGGGTGAACTAACAGAGTGTGGAAATTGTTGAAAAATATCATTGTTATCACATGCCAGCAAGATTCTCCTAAAGGCCACCCAAAACCAACTAGAACAGCACATCAACAGAGAACTGCCTGAAGTGCAGGCTGGATTTAGAAGAGGTCGTGTCACTACGGATATTATAGCTAATGTCAGATGGATTTGGCTGAAAGCAGAGAGTACCAGAGGAATGTTTATTTGTGTTTCATTGGCAAAGTATTTGACTGTGTGGACCACAACAAACTGTGGCTGACTTTGAGAGGAATGGGAATCCTAGAACACCTGATTGCGCTTATGCAAAACTTAGACCACGAGGCAGTTGTCAGAACAGAGGAAACACTTCATGTTTCAAAATTGGGAAGGGTGTGCATCAAGGATGTGTCCTATCTCTGTATCTTTCCAATCTATATGCAGAACAGATTATCCAGGAGGCTGGGGTCTATGAGGAGAAGTGTGGCATCAGGATTGGAAGTAGACTTATCAACAATCTGCATTATGCAAATGACACAACCCTGCTTGCTGAAACTGAGGAGGACCTGAAGCGCTTGCTGCAGAATGTCAAGGATTGTGGCCTTCACTATGGATTGAAGCTCAATGCCAAGAAAACAAAGATTCTCACCACTGGGCCAATTGGCAGCATCATGATAGATGATGAAGAGATTGAGACTGTTGATAGCTTTAGTTTGCTTGGCTCCACAATCAACACTCTTGGTACCAGTAGTCAGAAAATTAAAAGACGAATTGCATTGGGAAAGTCTGCTGTCAGAGACCTCTCCAAGGTACTGGGGAGCAATAATGTAAGTTTGGAGACTAAGGTGCACCTGACACAGGCCATGGTCTTTGCCATTACTTGCTATGTTTCAGAGAGCTGGACAGTGACTAGGGATGATTGAAGGAGAGTTGATGCCTTTGAGCTTTGGTGCTGGAGAAGAGCATTGAATGTACCATGGAGTACTAGGAAAACAAAAAAGTTCGTCCCAGAGAGGGTGAAGCCAGGCTGCTTCTTGGAGGCAAGGATTCTGCATCTGACTAATCTGGGCATGTTACAAGGAGGGACCAGTCCTTTGAGAGGACCGTCATGCTTGGGAGGTTGGATGGAAGGCTCAGGAGAAGAAGACCCTGAATGAGATGGATTGAGTCCATCACTGGGGTAATGCGGATGGTTGTATTGGAGACAATGAGATTGACAAGGGCTAGAGCAGGGTTTAGGGGTTTTGTACATAGGATTGCTATGAGTCGCAAGTGACTCGACAGCACATAACAACAACAACAATAACAACACTATCCTAATAAGGATTATCTGATAATCTGGATATGTGATAATATCCAGAATGTATAAAGTATTCCTCCTATAGTTCAACACAAATACAACCATTTTTTTAAATGGGCCAATGGCAGAAATAGGTAACTCTTTTTTTTCTCTCTTACAAGCCCCACTCCACAAATTGTCAGTAAGTGTATTGAAAAATAAGTACAAGAGGTCCATAAGCCATCAGGGAAATGGAAGTCAAACCACAATGAGATAGAACTTTATACACATTAGGATTGCTATTATTAGAGAAACAATAGAAAATAATAAGTTTTGATAAGGATGTGGAGAAATTGTACCCTTCTTACACTGTTAGTGGTGTGTGGTGGAAATGGTATAACTACTGTAGGAAATACGATTTCCTTAAAAAGCTAATTAAGTAGGAGGTTATACAGTGGCAGTTCTAATTTTCACAAACATGATTGGAAATGACAATTCCCCATTGCTCTTCACTTCTGAACAAGCTTCTCAATTGAATTTCTGCCCTACACTTTCAGTAACCTCACAATATGACTCTACACCTATGTCAGACTATAATCCACATGTCTGTGCTTCTGATCCTTTGCTTAAATCCTCCTCTTATTTTAAACATCATAAATGTCTATTGTCTCTAAAAGACCAGATTTCCACCCAAAGCCCTAGAGGTGCTGAGTTTCAAAAGATACTTTTTACTGTGCTCCACAGGGCTTCATTGACTAATTTTGGAAATTTATCACTAGATTTTTTTGTCCCCTAATCTATCTTCCTCTGGAAGTCCGCTGAAAACTGTCCAAATGGGTGACCCTGCCCTCACTTATCCTTTTTCAGCCTCACTATCTCCGACATATGTGGATCCATTGTTGCAATTATTGTGTCAATCCACCTGTTTGACGATATTCCTCTCCTTTGCTCTTCCCCCACTCTTCCAAATAAGATATCCTTCTGCAAGGAATAGCCTTTCCTAATAACATGCCCAGTTTATGAGACAAAGTTTTCTCATTTTTACCTCCATGGAGCACTCTGGCTACACCTTATCCAAGGTATATCTATTTGTTCTTTTGGCAGCCCATTCAGTACTTTTTCAAAACAGTTCAAAAGCATCACCTTTTCTTTTGCCATCCTTATCCATTGTCCAGCTCTGTCTCATGATAGCATGCAAACCACCATAAAATAAACTAGATATACTAACACAAGGGTGGTGGACTGCATGAGTAGCCACAGATTAGTTTTTCTTCCGTTAAAATTTATTGCATTATACTTGATATATGTTAAATAGGGAGCTCCAGTAGCCTAGTGGTAAAAAGCTGCACTGCAATCCCAGAGGCATGTGATTTGAATTCACGAGCTGCTCCATGGGAGAAGGATGGGCAATCTCCTCCAGTGTGATTTACGGTCTCTGAAAACCCACTGGAAGGTCAGCTGTAGTTCAGTTCTGATTCAAAGGTACACAACAACAATAACAACACTAAATAGAGCAGACATGCAGTTCTATTATTCATGCTAGATGTAAATGCTCTTCCAGAGCTACACAACAAACCCAACACTTACTGCACAAGATAGGGAGAGTGGGACCATTTATACTTTTTTTGTTTTATATCAATTATACCAGTAATTATACTAGTTATACTTTTTTCTATTTTCAGGATTGGTGCTCCTTTATATGTAAATATAAATAGAAATAGAAATAATATAAATATAAATATAACTATAAATAGGAACCCTCTCTTCTCTTAAGGTATTTCATCTCTGTGACAGAGTTCTTCTCATCTCTCTCTTTCTCCTCAGCAGCCAAATTCCTTGCTCCAGTTGTTTGCATCATGAATAACATTCAAAGACTTACTTGAGTTCAAGAGTGGCATTTTGGTGCAACTTCATGAAATGCCTCTTCTGCATGGATTCCAGCAATGATGTAATGTTGCCTTGCATATTTTGAAGAGTGGAGCTGGGTAGCTGGAAATCTTCATCCAAGGTCTGATTTAGAATTGTTGCTTTTTCAATAATTTCTATGGATAAAATGCAGCAATATCCTTTAGCACACTTCTCAAAAACTGACAATACTAAATGGAAAAAGCCTAGAACTTTCTTCAGTAAGGCTGCTCTATCTAGCCTGGGGTGGACTTCCAGGCCAAGTTCTATATGCCTCAGTGCAATCTGGATGTCTCCTAACAAACATCCATGAATTTGGGGCAGCTGGGTTATTTCATGTCTGTTTTCCTAAATACAAAATAATAATCCTCATTGGCTATACCAATCATACTCACTTCTGCATTATTTTGCACCTCCATAAATATTAGGGCTAGAGGATGCTTAGGAAATATTTTCTGCTTTAATAAGCCCAATACTTGATAATACTCTATTTAACACACACACACATACACACACTCACACACACACATTTGGTTTTATCATTTCCTCACCATGATGTTCTTTTGTTTGCATTGGATCCTTTCTGGACTTTTTATTCTATTATACTATAAACAGAAAAGCCAGAATACAGACTATGCTTTGAACTACTAGAAAGACTAAAAGTGGCAAACCAAGAGCCAAATCAGACAGGGTATTCTGAGTAGAGAATATACTTGCATATACCTTGGCATCAAGTTAATGCCCCAGCTACTGTCAGCAGCTGAGCTAAACAGAGGGAGAGAGAAGTGTCGTTTCTATTGGACACTAGAGGGCTTGGAAATTAGACTCAAATGTAAGACATAAAAGTCACATTAAAAAACCACATTGCCATTGTGTAAATTTTGATGTATAGTGACATAGCGACTAAAAGAGGAAACATACATTTTTATGTATTTTAAAGATAAAACTCTCAGTGAAAGCCTCTGACTAGAATCTTTCATGATCTGCAATCTTAGCAAAAATGTAAGCAAGTTCTTTCCTCCATAGAAAGTCCAGTGGATGACTCAGCTTTCACTTCCACTGATAAGTTTAATAAAGAAAATATGGTTTTTTTCCTGTCAAATATGGGTGGCCACCCCCTCCCCAACACTGGACACTGGTTAGACTCCGTGATGTCACCCAATACTAACTTAATACTGTCACATCAGTGGCAAGCTGGCTGATAACCACTCCCTGATGTGGTCAGGATCAATCTCCCCCAACATCCATAGCTCCCGGTGTCCGCGGCTTCCCTCGGCCCTTGCAAACTCGGGCTGCGGATCCCGAACACAGGGGCGGAGGGGGTCGACGGGGACCCTAGCTGGGGACTTGGACGTCTCTGCGGGTTCTTTCCTGTGTGCAGCCAGAATTTCCTGTCTGCCTGAGTCTGGCTAGACCTTGACTGTAGGGTCAAGGAGGGGGTGGTGCTGAGTTTCTGCACTGGATGACCAGTGGTGCCAGCCTGAGTAATGTCATTGTCTTGTGGCCCCTCTCCCTGGGTGCTGGTGGCTACTTAGACTGTGAGGCCATTCTGACTGTGCTCTGCAACCTTGTCCTCCAGTGACGTCACAGGCCAGACTACCTGTGATGCTTATCCGAAGCTTCTCAATGAATATTCTGAGGTCTTCAATCCTGTGGAGGACTCCGCCAGTCATCACGCTCACATTTTGGCTATTTGCTAGCACTCTGGTCAGCTGATGGAAAAGAAGTCTCAGGTTAGTTTGACTTTAAATTTGTAAACTTTGGTATTCTATTCATTGCATTTTTAAAGCAATTAAATATATTCCAAATTATAAAGAGTCACACTATTTTGCAACCTAATGTTAATATTTCAGAGTAGAAAAATTGTTTAATGATTTGATTTACACGCATTCATCATGAGAAAGGTGGAGTATTTTTAAAAGCTGCCAATTTAGTTACCAAATCACATTCTCCATGAGTATACACTGCAAAGTTCTATGTTCACTTTAGAGCTGAAATATACAGGATATGTAGGTTTTGTGTACCACTGAGCCAGAATTGACCCATAGGTGATCCTCCAGTGGGTTTTCATTGGCAGTAAATCACACAGGAGGAGATTGCCTCCTTCCCAGATGGAGCAGTTGGTATGCTTGACCAGTTGGTGTATTGGTCTTTGGAATTGAAGTGCAGTCCTTACCAGTAGGCCATTAGAGCTCCCTGGTGTATGTCTACATACAGGATGCTTCTGTGGTTCTGTATTATCGAATTGGAACCAACCCATACCTGCCCCACAGTGGGTTTTACAGGTAGTAAATCACAAGGAAGGAGGTTGCACACCTTTATTTTCTGCAGAGTAGCTGGTGGATCCAAACTATCTACCTTCGTGTTGGCAAGGCAATTTCTTACCAATAAGCCACCAGAACTCCCTACATAGAGAATATAGAAAGTTATATCTTATTAATTTTTACTGAGTGTGAAAACTTAGGTGTCTATAAGTTTTAAGCATGTGGTCAGGCAAAGGGGGCTTCAGGCCTGACACTGCCATGCTCGAGATGGGCTACCTGACATCCCCAAGGCTTGCCTACAGACGGCACCTAATAAGACCTCACAGACATAGTGAAGGTTGAAGGCAGTAACTTCTTTGGAGGACAAAGACTTGATGCCCTCAGCTGCTCTTTTAAATCAGAAGTTTATAATTTGTAAAAGGAAAAGTTACTTATAATGTGCAAGAATGTAAAATGATTCATACTAGGTTTGAAAACATTTTCAAATCGGCATCCAAAGAGAATCTTCTTAAACAGATGGAGATATTTTATTTTAATCAGCTTTTGGTAGAAAGTATTCTACCACATGTTTACTCTGAGATGCTTAAAGCCTATATTTAAATCCTTGAGCTCTTCTCAAATCTTCATTAATTCTTAATGAAAAGGAGTCAAGCAAATATGGCTTTAGAGTGCATGACTGAGTATATATGGATATGTTTAAATGACTGAAAGTATAATTGTACATAAACACTATATCACATGCACATATCAGTTTATACAGGCACACACATACATGTGCTCACATGCACATAATTACTAGGTGAAAAATTATAAATACAAAGCCAGTCCTCCTCTACCAACTGCACAAGAGGATAAATTTTGGAGTCACTAGGAAGTTCCCGTGTCATAGTTTGTAGGGAGTAGTGCTGTTGGCCTAAAGTTGGTGCCTTCCTTTCTTAAAGAAACCTTAAAGTTGTTTCAAATCCACCTACTGCTCGAAGTAAAAAAGATAGGCAATCTCCTTCTGTGTTATTTATAGCCTCTGAAAACCCACTGGAAGGTCAGCTGAGTTGTTTCCAACTCCACAATGACAAGCGTGCATCCACACCAAGTCAGCACAGGAAAGCCTCTGGCCTGCAGTAGGCCTCCTGCAGGGAGGGCTGATGTGTCCTCATTCTGAGCCACTAAGCCGCCCCACCCGCTGCTCCCCAGGACTGTGTCAGCAGGAAATGAAGAGCTGAAGAATTCATAGACGTTTCAAGGACCCATCCCCATCATGGTTCAGAGAAAGAAAGTGAACTGAAAAGTGAAGTGACTTGTCCAGCCATTCCATCTGCAGAGGTGGCAAGGATCATTAAATCAGCAGCCTCTTCCTACCAAAGCACAGTTCTGGCAGAGCTGAAACCAATTTATGGCAGATTTCCCAGCACAGTTAGATCTAACTGGAACCTTCCCCACAGCACAGTGGTCCTTCACGGGGGCTAACATGAGGTCCAAGGGAAGGAGTCACCACCCACCGCCTTTTGTAAGGCCTGTGTCTCTTCCACAACATGTTCCAGTTGAGTTTTTGCCAGTTCCTTTTGTGTATTTTCTTTCAATAGGGATTCCTAAGAAGGAAACAAATTACAACATTTGAAAATCAAATATTCTGATTCTTACCAGAGAATCACATTTTATGTCTTTTGAGTCACAAAAATCTTTCCTCAAAATAAATTGCAATTTTAAAAGATCACATTTTCTCATATTTTTTTCCTTAAATTTTGATTATGTCACCATGACTTCATACTATCATCTTTTGTACTATTATTTCAATATATATATAAATTGTGTAAACAAACATAATAGAAATTATCTCTTAAGGCAAGGTGGTGCAGTCCAGAGGGAATTGTGCTCCAAATCCTTTCAAAGCACTTCTCTCAAAGCCTTTGAACCCACCAGTGATGTAGCAGGAGAAAAATGGGGAAATCTCTTCCCAGGAGAAAAATGGGGAATCTCTTCCCATGTGATTTACAGTCTCCAAAGCCCTCTGAAGGATCAGCTGAGTTGATTCTGATTCAATAGGCAGAAATATTAACATATGGAAAATTATAGATTTTGTTGTTACACACCTCTGAGTAAGAACCAACCCTTACCATTAGGCCATCAGAGCTCAACATAGATTAGATTACCAGAGTATACCACTGTAAAAGCAATCCTTCACTTATGTATTTCACTTTTTCTAAATTCATAGAGAATAATATAGAATAAAAGTTTAGCTACTTTCATAAAGGCCCATTAAGTAATTTGGTTAAATTTAAAACCTGGTGTGTTGCGTTGAATTTGATACTACTGCAATTCTTATGTAAAATATAACAATTACATACATCTTAATTACAATTATCACATGTTTACCATGTTAAAACAGAAAGCTGTAGTGGTGTAATGGCAAGAAGCTGTACTGTAATCCCAAAGGCAGGTGGTTTGAATCCACCAGCTGCTCCATGGGAGAAGGATGGGAAATCTCCTCCTACATTATTAACTGCCTCTGAAAACCCACCAGAGGTCAGCTATGGGTCGGTTCCAACTCGAGGAGCCGATAACAAGGTTAAAATAAAAAATTTTAAAAATTAGCAAATAAATAAAAACTTAAATAATGGATTGATATTGTTCTTATTGTTAGGTTAAGATTAAGTTGATTCCAACTTGAAGCAACCATATGCACATTAAAAAACAAGCCTGCTCACACAAGCCTGATCCACACAATCCTGCTGTGTTGAGCTCACAGCTGCAACCACTGAGCCACCCCCCTGGTGGGTCTTCCTCTTTTGCAATGACAAGATTCTGTTTCACCAAGCATGATATCTTTCTCCAGGAACTGGCTTCACCTAGTAATTTGCCCAAAGTATGTGATTTTAAGGTTCAAGATGTGCCTGATTAAAGTAGAGGTATTTTCAAATCACCTCACATGCATAGGAAAGTTAAACAATGATTAAGGAAGATTGAAGAAGAATTGATGCTTATGTATTGTAGTCTTGGTGAAGAATGTTGAAAATTCCATAGATTTCCATAAGAACAAACAAATCTGCTGAGGAGGAAGGAGGAAGAATACTTCTCATAAGCAAGGTTGTATGTAAGATTTTGTTTCATACACCTAAGGTGCATTATTAGGAATTATTGAGTACCAGTGAGTCACAACTGACCCATAGCTGACTCTAGTAGGTTTTCAGAGGCAGAAAATCACACAGGAGGATATTGCCCATCCTCCCATAGAGCAGCTGGTTGGTTTGAACCTTTTATTTTTGGAATTACAGCACAGTTTCTTAGCACTAGGCTATCAGAGCTCCCTTTTTGGAAATTAGCAAAATTTAAGTGAGAACACCTCTCATTTGTATACTCAGTGATTATTATTTTAATACTGCAGCAATTCTATGAAGTGGCTATGTTATTGCTTTTATTTTGGCATGCAGAAATTTAGGGGAGCGTGTGTGTGAGGAATTCAGGAACATGCAGAAGAAAGCAGTGAAGCCAATAACTTTCCTTTTTAGAGTCCAAATTCTTAACCTTGACCATCTAAGGGTCTGCTGAAAATTATTCAAACTTGACTGGAACAAGTACATCAACCGAGAAATGCCAGATGTGTATGCTGGGTTTAGAAGAGGCTGTGGTTCTAGGGATATTATAGCTAATATTTAGATGGATCTTGGCTGAAAGCAGAGAGTACTAGAGGAATGTCTATGTTTCATTGACTATGAAAAAGCATTTGACTGTGTGCATCACAGCAAACTGTGGCTAACTCTGAGAAGAATGGGAACCCTAGAACACTTGATTGTGCTTATGTGAAACCTACATTTGGACCAGGAGATAGTCATCAAAACAGAGCAAGGAAACACTGCATGGTTCAAAAACTGAGAAGGGTGTAGTCTAGGGATGTGTCCTATCTCCATACCTTTTCAATCTATGTGCTGAACAGATCATCCAAGAGGCTGAACTCTATGAGGAGGAGTGTGACATCAGGATTAGAGGAAGACTCATCAACAATCTGCATTATGCAGACAACACAACCCTGCTTGCTGAAACTGAGAACCTGAAGCACTTGTTGCAGATGGTCAAGAACTATAGCCTTGAATATGTATTGAAGTTCAACATCAAGAAAACAAAGATTCTCACCACTGGGCCAGTTGGCAGCATTATGATAGATGGTGAAGAGATTGAGATTGTTAACAATTTTAGTTTGCTTGGCTCTACAGTCAATACTCTTGGTACCAGCAGCCAGCAAATCAAAAGATGAATTTCATTGGGACAGTCTGCTGTTAGTGACCTCTCCAGAGTACTGAAGAGTAACAATGTCAGTTTAGAGACTAAGGTTCACCTTATTTAGGCCATAGTCTTCACAATTACTTGCTATGCATCAGAAAGCTAGACAATGACTATGGATGATAGAAGGAGAATTGATGCCTTTGAACTGTGGTGCTGGAGAAGAGTACTCAATGTACCATGGATTTCCAGGAGAATAAACTGGTTCCTTCTGGAGAGGATGACCTTGGAGGCAAGGATTCTGAAGGTGCTTCTGACATACTTTGGGCATGCTGCAAGGAGGGATCAGTCCTTAGAGAGAGACATCATGCTTAGAAGGGTGGAGGGATAGCACAAGAGAGGAAGAGCCTCGATGAAATGGATTAATTCAGTGACTGGGGTAAGGAAGGTAGTTGTGTCAGAGACAATTAGGTTGGCACAGGATAGAGCAGGTTTCAGGGCTATTGTACATAGGGTCGCTATGAGTTGGAAGTGACTCAACAGCACATAACAGCAACAACAAAGGAATAGACACGCTTTTTAGGAACACAACATCACAAATAAAAAAAGCAAAAGCTAGCCTGTTTTCATTGAGATGGAGTCATGTGACCCTCTGGGATAGAGAGGATTGTACCATATGCTTTCTAAAGCTGTAATCTTTATAAAAATAGGTCACCACATCTCTCTCCCATGCAGTGGCTGGTAGGATAGAACCAACAACTTTCTGGTTAGCAGTTAAGTTCTTAAACCTCTGCATCATCAAAACTCTGTTCATAGTATAAGGTGAAACATTCCAACTGTTTTCACTCCCTTGATCAATTTAATGTATCTGGGGTCCAAACTGACAATAGTAATATCTGATTGTGTTTGCATCACTTATGAATTTGAACTTTCCTTTGTTGTAGTTTGTAATTTACATACACAAAATCTCTAATCTTTTAAAAAATATTTAAAAAAATTTTTATCTTTTGAGAGAAAAAGAGCATAAAATATCTCCTTGACTTTCTTAAATGCCACTGCATCCATTTATCTATCTAAACATTGTTAAAAAAGAAAAAAAGGATGAGAGATCCAAGAAGGGTCCAAGCACAGGCATGCACATGTGCACGTACGCACACATACCCACACCCACACCCACCTGCACATAACCCCCTTGTGCACAAGAAAAAGTTTTAAATGTAAGAAAAACACTCATCTAACAAAGGCATTTGGGATGATTATTCTTCTTACGCCTGCAGAGCACAGTAATTACCTCAAATTCTAATATACAGGTAGAAAACAATTTAATATAATTTTCCACCCTCAATTAGAATGAAAAATATTGAGTAGGATACTGCCTACTAAGTCAGCATCTTAGCTCCCTATATTTTTTCTACTCAAATTTTCTTGATAAAATAGGAAACTATGATTTTCCCTATAGATTTTTTAATGTACCCTTCCAGAGAAGGATTTGTACCCTTTGAAAAAATGACATATTTATGGAATCTAGTTCATTATTAGTGCATTTCAACATTAGGGATGAAAGGGTTTGGATTTATTTACTGTGTCTTTATTAAAGCAGCTGTTTTGAACTATCCAAAGTTCCGTGTTAAAGAGGAAACACTGGATTTGTAGCACTCCAAAGGCTGAATGAGGACTTTGCAGTAAGATTTATAAGGATGCAGTCAGGGAGCAAGTTTTAAACAATAAGAGCACCCCGCAGTGAAGCAAATTAGCATATGTGACAGCAAAATCTTTGCCATTGGCTGTTTTCACACAAAGGCTAGAAGCCAGCAGCTGTGGGTGCTGGGACGGAACCCCACCCTGGTGGGGAACAGACACAATGATTACTATAGCCCCAACCAACTCCACGTCTCACCCATACATGTTTATGTCCTTGTCTGTATGTCTGATACCTACCCTGAGAGACTGAGTTGTGTTTTCCAGGGTTGACAAGACTCCATATGGGACAGGGATGATGCCAGTGAGGTTGACAGAAAGAATGTCCTCACCGATGTTATCTAAATCATCCAACAGCACACCTACACAGTGGTCATCACAAGCTAAAATCGAAAGGGAAAAAAGAAGATGAAAGTCAATGCCAAGCTGTCTACAAGTTTTCACAAGTTATTCTGCAGTTAGTAATTACAATTCTTTATGAGACATTGGAAAGGTCTTCCAGGTACCACTGCTTTCATTTCACATATGCTGTGTCCTGGAAAGAAGGATAGACAGGATGCACCAAGTCATTGTCATCACAGGTGAGCCTAAGACTCAGGAAAAGCCCCTCACTTCCTGGAGGTCACACCAGTGAGTTCAAAGCTAGGTTCTGGTCAAGGTTTCATTCACAGCAGAGCCGCTCCCTCGCTGCAATCTATTGAAACTGAGCCCTTTACACAAGGGTTTGTAAAATATATATATATGTATTTTTTAAACAATAACCACAACAAAAGGGTTTGTAAAATAAATACATATATATGTGTGTATATATATATGTATGTATATGTGTGTGTGTGTGTGTATATATAATTTTAACCAATAACAACAACAAAAGACTAAGTTCTGAGTCTGGTACTTGCCTCATTTAGCTGCACTGGCATTACAGTTCATTTGTGAATCTTTAAGCTAAACTAGTTGCAATAAATTCCAAATGAATTCCCTTTTAAAACCTTGGTTGATCTTTAGAGCAGATCATTTGGAGACAGGAGCCCTGGTGACATGGTAGATTAAGTCTTGGACTGGTAACCTAAAGGTTGGCAGTTTGAATCTCCAGTTAGACCATGGCAGAAGAAACAGAGCATATTGTTTTGATTTTGTGTTGAAAACACTATTGTGTCTTACTGGGTCATTATAATTAGCTTGGTTTGGGCTCCTCTATGACCCTAACATTACATTCACCGTGAACATATATTGGTTGCTGTGCACCGTCAAGTTAAAACTGACCCCCCAGCAGGTTGTCAGGGCAGTAAATCAGCTCATCCTTCCCCCGTGGAGCAACTGATGGATTCAAACCATGAGTCTTTAGGATTGCAATTCAGCTTCTTTCTACTAGGATACCAGAGCTCCCTAGAAACCTCTGAGCAGAAGATATTTTAATATTATTACTCCATACACTGACTGCTAAAATTGGTCATAACTGAGGAGAAAAATCCATGATAGCAAAGAACTGAAGCTATCATGAAATCTAGATTACATAATTTAGATAATACAAAGGTCTCCCCACTCCTGAACCAGTAGACACTGATTCCTCAAAGGAAATATTACTGGTGGCTAAGCTATAAAGCTGAAATTATTATGTTCTTAAACTGCTGGAGGTAGAGGGAACAATACTATGATCCTGGTTTTTCTCATATCAGCTATAAACCATGGCAGGCCCATTTGGGAAGAGAATTTTTTTTATTTTATTTTATTTGGTGTGTTAATGGACCCACAGCTGCATAAGGTATGTTTTAAACCAATAATCTTTCCGGTAAAGATATAAAAAAGATGATATGAGGCACAGAAAAGGAAGCACAAGTAGAAGGGAGAATACAAGATCTATGAAGACTGCCATGGAATGAATGCCAGAGAAAGTGAGACATTTCCTCAGATGGAGAGTCTTCCTTTAGATTCAGTGTCTGAAATTTCTATTTCTAGTTTGTGGGAAAGTTCTATTGCAGTAGCACTAGATAACTAAGAAACAATGTTAAAAGTGCAACTTGGCCAATGCAAAGACAACTTATGTTTAGTTTAAAGAAAAACAAGTTATATAAGTTAAAATAGTGCTTTTTCTATTGACTCTTTCCTCAAAAAGAAAACCATCATTGGGGCGAAATGACAATCAAGGTGTAGAGGAGAATGCCTCACAGATGCAGTCACTCTCCATGCGGATGTGTCTTGCTTCACACTGGTCACATCGCAGGCCTGTGGCCCCTGGCTTGCAGACACACTGCCCAGAGATGCCATCGCAGAAACTGTGCTCTGACCCCTGGGTGTTGCAGGCACATTTCTGGCAACTGCCCCCTGGGACTCGAGGGTTCCCATAAAAGCCTGAGGAGCACCTAGACAGAAGACGACATTCAGGTTTATGAAAGATAATCAACCAAAGTGACTAAATATGGACACCACCCTTTGCCCAAAGACAGTCATCTTTTAGCAAAATTAAATGCACAGTTCAAAAGATATATTTACCTTACTCTACACTTTATTTCTTAAAGGAGCGTGGGATGGTGACATAATGTGCATTTACTACCTTAACACGTAAGAGAACATGTTTTGGAATAATATCAAAGTCTCACATTAATTATGCACATCCAGATCAAGAATGACTCCCAGATCAATTTAGTAAATAGACCCAGGACATTATTTAAAAAGCAGGAGCAGAGATGCCTAAGGATTTCCATGATGTAACCGAACCACATACCTTTCACAGTATTGTCCTTCATAGCCTGGAAAACAGGCATTGCAACGGAAGTCATTATTCCCTTCCAGGATGCAGGTCGGACTGAAGCTGGGGGAAAAGAATTGATTTTTTGTGGCATCTTTTGTGTTTGTTTTCGAAAATTTTCAAATACACATCCTTAAATTTTCCGCCTACTAGTTTATTTACAAAATTCAAATACAAATTTGAACAAATTCTTTCAATTTCCCTCACCAGCCCCACCCCATCAAATTGCACAGCCCAATGATTAATTCTCCCTTCCTCTTGCACATCCACATTCCTCTGCTTCCAGCCTCTCCCACCCCTCCTGGGTCCTTATACTCAGTCTGCAATAATGGTTTTACACAATATTTATTCTTATGGGACTGAGTCAGTTCACTCAGCATAAAGCTCTCCAGTCCCTTGCAAGTTAGGTAATAATTTAGCTATCCTAATGTAACTTTACATTATTGCTAGGGTACATGATATGTTCTTACATAATCAACAATTTTACTGAAAAATTAGACAAGATTTTGAGGCATTACAACCAGTCTACTTGGCAAAAATAAGAAAATTTATTTTATCAGTACAAATATGAACTTCTCTTGTATCCAAAAGGAATTTGCTAGACTCCTGACTAGTGACAATCACTTGAGTGCTATGTGAAGGACAAGGGACCAGCCACCTAAGAAGAAATTTTCTAGATAAAAATAATTTCTTTCTGAAATTTTCTCACATGCTTATGTAGCTCACTGAAGGATAAGGTAATGGTGAGTTGTGAATGATTACACTGCCTGGAAAAGGCAGTGGGAACAATGCTAATTAGACTGTAAAGAAAGACAAAACCGGGAAAGAAAAGTAAAGATTACGGGAGAATTTGCACCATCTGAATTTAAAGATAAAGTCATTTGGTGGCTGGACTCCACCAACAACACAAGCAAAATGATGGCACCACTTGGAGTGCAATGATCCACAAAGGGGTCGAGCTCTATATTTGCAGGTTACACTTTTTTAATGTTATGATTTATTGACTTGAACAGATTATTTTTAAGATACTCTGCACTTTTGTCTTGTGTATCAGGTAGAATAGGATGGTGAGTGTAGTGTGAAAAAAATCTTCTGAATTTAACGGAAACTGCAATTGCTAGATGAACATCTAAAAACAGTCAGAAATTTAGGCAACATCATCATACATATAATATGAGCCAGAAAGATTTCTAATCTTTATCACATTAAAATTGTAGGCTAAACTATCATCTTACTCTTTTTCTTTCTTTTTTTTCTCTTCTTCTTCTCCAACAGCCTCAATTGCCACATTTTAAATCACTAATGCACCATCTAGAGGCTGAGCTGAGTACCTGCAAACTATTTTTTAAAGACCAAAAAATCATAATACAAACACAAACCCAAATAAAGACAATAAGAGAAAGTTGGCCCCTTTTTGGGTAGCAAAATGAAGTTTCTAAAATGAGTTAGAAGAGTCTCTATTTGTTCCGTACCTTCTCTATTTTTCACTACTTTCCTCTTAAAGAGTAAAGTGACATACTTCAGTGAAAATGCAAAACACACAAAAAATCAAGCTCTTTTAAGCCCTCTTAAACTCCATTATCTTTAAATCCCATTTATTCTTAATAGGTTGCATTTTAATTTTTCTAACATAGGCTTTGGAGAAAATATAGCCTTTTCTACTGAGGAAGTAAGATGATCAAAGATACAGAGACATGCAAAGTGATTGTTGTTGTTCTGTACCATGGAGGGCGGCACAGACTCAGCTCCCCCGCAGCCTGGTTTTGAGAGTGAAATTGCATGAAAAGAGACAGGAATACATGTACACATATTGGATTCCCGCCCCCCAAAGAACATAAGACTATATATTCAGCAATTCTATAAGGAAAAAAATCCTGTATTTTTCTCAGTGTTTGAAGTTATTTCCCTCCAGGAAGGTATCAGAGTATTTCATTAATCTCTCATAGGTAAATATTTCCATTTCCCTAACTAATTTCTAATTATTACAAACAATGCTAAAATATACTCATCTTTGCACATGTAGTTAGGCGCTGACAAGTCAAGCACCACTAATTGAGACCCTTTGAACAAAAGATCTGAACCCTGTTATCTCCTGCTCCATCCTCACACTTCCTGATACACAAGAGCCCATTGCAGCAGTCACCATGTCAATTAACCTCGTCAAGGATCTTCCTCTCCTTTGTCGACCCTCCACCCTTCCCAGTATCATGTCCTTCTTTAAGGAATAGCTCCTCCTAGCAACATGTTCAAAGTATGTGAAGTGAAGCCTCATCATCCTTGTCTCCAAATAGCATTGGGCTGTAGCCTCCACGAGACATATTTGTTTGTTCTTTTGGCCATCTACAGGATGCTCAGTGTTCTTTTCCAACACCACAGCCCAAAGGTATCCATTCTTCTTCTGTCATCCTTATTCACTCTAAAGCTCTCAGATGCATAGCAAGTGATGGTAAAGATTATGGTCTGAATCAGACGCACCTTAGTCCTCAAACTGACATCAATACTCCTCAATAATTTGGAGAGGTCCCTAACTGCAGATTTTGCCAGTGGAATGTATCTCCTAATTTCCTTACTGCACATACTAATGTTGTTAATTGTGGATCCAAGCAAGATGAAGTTTTTGACAGTTTCAATCTCTTCGTCCATCATGATGTTGTCTTTTGGTCCAGAGTTAAGAATTTCTATTTTCTTGGCATTGAAATGCAATCTACACCGAAGGCTGCATTCCTTGATCTTCAGCAACAAGTGCTTCAAGTTCTCCTTACTTTTAGCAAGCAAAGTGTATCATCTGCACAATGCAGGTTATCATTATCTTTGCACATACACAAGTATTTCAATCACATGAAGAACTGCAGCCAGTGCATGAAAATTTATATACAGATTTAATACAAAAGATTAAGTGACAAACAAATCTTCAAGTGCTTGATAGTTTACAAGGGAAAAACAACAAAGCTCTTATCTGATACTTATTTGGAGAAACAAAATATAGAATGTACAAACAAATCTGAAAGTGAAAATGTCAATTCTGTACATCAAGAGTGAAATTCCATTCATGTATTTCCATACTTTGGCACATATTATAAATAACAATAGAGCATTAATTATGAATCACAATTTTCACTTAATCCAAAGAGTACACACAGATACTGCAACTATCATTCTAAATATCTCGTTCTTTTTCATGTTCAGACAATTCTATACAAACATCATGAGTACAATGTAAAAACATTTCAGTACTTAATTAATCGTGAGTATGTGCTGGAGAAGAGTATTGAATGTACCATGGACTGCCAAGAAAACAAACAGATTCAACCTGGAGAGGGTTAAACCAGGCTACTCTTTGGAGGCAAGGATTCTGGGGCTTCGTCTGACATACTTTGGACATGTTGTAAGGAGGGACAGGTCCTTGGAGAGGGACATCATGCTTGGGAGGGTGGAGGAAAGGCGCAGGAGGGGAAGACCCTCTATGAGGTGGATTGATTCAGTGACTGGGGTAATCAGGATGGGTGTGTCAGAGGCAGTGCGATTGGCACAGGATAGAGCAGGGTTCAGGGCTGTTGTACATAGGGTTGCTATGAGTCACAAACAACTCGATGGCACATAACAACAAACAACAACATGTGTAAATTCTAATTATTTCCTTAATTTAATCAGGAACTGGATAATTTCATATGATTAATAAAATTAATAACTAATTAAAAAACTGAAAAGTGATTTCTTTATTGTATTCTAACACTGAATGACACCACCAATAATTTGCTTTTGAAGACATTCTTCAAATGCTTACAAGAATGAATTTTTCTACTTAAAATAACCTTTCTTAACAGATGGGAATGTGCGTGAAAACAGATCATTTAGAAACCCTGGAATACAAGGAGAGGGAGGGCTTGTTGTGCAGACTTACCTGGCAGGGTAGACATGAGGACAGGAGCACAGGGCACAGTCGGTGGCCAATCCAGTCACCTTCCCGTAGTACCCGGGGGCACACACATCACAGTGGTCACCAGCGGTGTGATCTCTGCAGCTCTGGGTAGAAATCATTCACATCGGGACTGAGTGCAGCCTCCCCGTGGGTCATGTCAAGTAAGTCACCTTGGGTTAGCATTAACTTGATGGCAACTAACAACTGCCAGCAGCCTTTATATCAGTGTTTTCTCTTAATATATGAAGTCCTAATGTTGTAGTAAATAATGTATCATGATGCTAACTGAAAGGTAGGCAGTGTATATTGAACAGTTGCTCAGTGGGGAAAAGGTGGCTAATCTTCACCCATAAAGACTGACGCATGGAAAGTGCCTTGAATTTTAATCAACTCAATGGCTTTGAGTTGGATTTGTGTGTGTGTGTGTGTACACACAAATACACATACATACACATACACATAAACACATTATTTAATATACATGATCTAATATATATTATATAGACACATATATAACATTCTTCTAGGTGGTATAGCACTGATCTGTGCATTGCTGTGTCGAGGTAACTTGTGGTTTCTGTGATGCTGAACACTGTGACACTGATGTACCAAATGTGATAATGGTTACCCATGGTGGACAGTGTTTGGTGGAGCTTCCTGATTAAAACAAGCTTGGAAGCAGGAGTGGCATCTACTTCTGAAATGGCTTGCCTCCAGAAACTCTATAAATAGTGCTTAGGCCTTTCATTCATAGGGTCGCTATGAGTCGATGACACCTAACAACAACAACATATATAGACTAAATTCAAGGAATGAGGAAGTCTTATAATTCTGAAGGCCATAGGCCTGGATATCATTGGTATATATTTATATATAAAATAGTTTATTATATATACCACAACATGGAAATATATATGAATTTATAGAGATGTATGCTCAGAGTTACTGTATATAGGGTCACTATGAGTTGTAGGTGACTCGACAGACCTTAACAATATGTATAAGTATATATATGTATTATACACGATATATATACAGGTTTGTGCTATAGCATATTTCATATATCTAATCTATCTATCTATCTATCTATCTATCTATCTATCTATCTATATCTATCTACCTATCATCTATCTATCAGAGGCCTCTCGTAGTATAGTTCATAGGGAATTGTGCTGCTAATTCAAAGGTTGCATTTCTTTGTTGGTTTGGCTCCAACTGCTCTGAGGGAGAAAGATGGCAATTTCTTCCTTGAGACATAACAGCCTTGGAAATCTAATGGATTGTCAGCTACGAGTCTGTTCTCATGGATGGTTAACAATGAGTTTGAATTATTATATCTACCTATGTATTTATGTTACATAGGCAGATAAAATAATCTGTGTTATGCATATGACACAACCCTGCTTGCTGAAACTGAGGAGGACCTGATGCACTTGGTACAGAGGGTCAAGGACTGCAGTCTTCAATATGGATTGAGGCTCAATGTCAAGAAGACAAAGATTCTCACCACTGGACCAATTGCCAGCATCAGGATGGATGGTGAAGAGATAGAGATTGTTCACAGCTTTAGTTTGCTGGGCTCCACAGTCAACACTCTCGGCACCAGTAGCCAGGAAATTAAAAGACGTATTGTGATGATAAAGTCTGCTGTTAGGGACCTCTCCAAAGCACTGAAGAGCAAATGTGTCTCTCTGAAGACTAAGGTGCAGCTGATACAGGCTATGGTCTTTGCAATCACTTGTTATGCATCAAAGAGTTGGACAATGACTAGGGAGGATAGAAGGAGAATTGATGCTTTTGAGCTTTGGTGTTGGGGAAGAGTATTGAGGGTACCATGAACTGCTAAGAAAACAAACAGATTGATCCTTGAGAGGGGCTACTCCTTGGAAGCAAGGATTCTGAGGCTCTGTCTCACATACTTTGGTCATGTTGTAAGGAAAGACTGGTCCTTGGAGAAGGACATCATGCTTGGGAGGGTGGAGGGCAGGCGCAGGAGGGGAAGGCCCTCTAGGAGGTGGATTGATTCAGTGACTGGGGTAATCGAGATAGGTGTGTGGGAGACAGTGAGATTGGACAAAGCAGAGCTTAGGGCTGTTGTACATAGGGTCGCTATGAGTCACAAGCAACTCGACGGCACATAACAACATGTATTTATGTTATTGTTGGTATATAAGATCAATTTAGAACTGACACATAGTTGACCCTCCAGCGGGTCAGTTCAAAAAGACAGGTTGAAAAGACCTGTCTCAAAGACAGGCAGTTTGAATCCACCAGCTGCTTCATAGAAAGATGGACAATCTCCTCTCATGTGATTTACAGACTCTGAATAGCCCCTGGAAGGTCAACTATGGGTTGTTTCTGACTCGACAGGACACAACAACATAGATATATATGAAAGATAACCAACCCTATGGCCTTCATAATTATAAGAATTCCTCATTCACTCAATTTAATCTAGATATTACTAATGTATTCTTCCTAAAAAACACACACTGCGATACTAAAACCAGCCACCTTTTGGATACTTACACTGTGCATTTAAAGTGCACAGTAACCTTCAAGTAGAAGAAGCACTGCCTTTGCACGTGAGTTCACGAGCCACATGTGGGCAGCAGAAGCACATGGATAGACAAGGAAATAATGAAGAGAAAAAACTGATGATTTCACAGGGCTACCCACAGACTGTCATGTAACCAAATTACCTCTCGTTAAGTTCCTTACAAACTTTCAGACCTATACTCTTGCTATTTTTATAAAATTGCTGATATTTTTTTTAAACTAGAAAGTCTTGGCATCTGATTTCAGTTTAAAACCTGCTTTGATTTAAGTGACCAAGAGACACTCTATCCAGCACCACACCTAGAACGTAGGGCTGGTACCATGGACAGAAAGATAGGTATCACCACAGAATACCTGAACACACCCTTATACGGAATCCCACTTCTACCCTTGGTTGGCAGTGCAAGTGACAAAGAAGGGAACACTTCTACATAAAAGAAAATGGTGCTTTTAATTTCTATTTTTAAATTGCATTCTTATTTCACCTAATGAAAATAGATATTACTAGGATTTACTTGGCACAGTAGAGGTAAGATTCACAACCTAGTTGTTGTTATGTGCCGTCGAGTCGCTTGCGACTCATAGCGACCCTATGTACAGCAGCCCTAAACCCAGCTCTATCATGTGCCAATCTCACTGCCTCTGGCACACCCATCCCGATTACCCCAGTCACTGAATCAATCCACCTCATAGAGGGTCTTCCCCTCCTACGCCTGTCCTCCACCCTCCCAAGCATGATGTCCCTCTCCAAGGACCTGTCCCTCCTTACAACATGTCCAAAGTATGTCAGACAAAGCCCCAGAATCCTTTCCTCCAAGGAGCAGCCCAGTTTAACCCTCTCCAGGATGAATAATCTGTTTGTTTTCTTGGCAGTCCATGGTATATTCAATACTCTTCTCCAGCACCACAGCTCAAAGGCATCAATTCTCCTATCCTCCCTAGTCATTGTCCAACTCTCTGATGCATAACAAGTGATTGCAAAGACCATAACCTGTATCAGACACACCTTAGTCTCCAGAATGACACCATTGCTCTTCAGCACCCTGGAGAGGTTCCTAACAGCAGACTTTCCCATCACACTACGTTTTTTGATTTCCTGGCTGCTGGTGCCAAGAGTGTTGATTGTGGAGCCAAGCAAACTAAAGCTGTGAGCAATCTCAATCTCTTCACCATCCATCCTGATGCTGCCAATTGGTCTACTGGTAAGAATCTTTGTCTTATTGACATTGAGCCTCAATCCATTCTGAAGACTGCAGTCCCTACAGTCCTCTGCAGCAAGTGCAGCAGGTCCTCCTCAGTTTCAGCAAGCAGGGTTGTGTCATCTGCATAATGCAGATTGTTAATAGATATTCCACCAATCCTGATGCCACACTTCTCATAGAGCCCAGCTTCTCAGATAATCTGTTCTGCATACAGATTGAAAAGGTATGGAGATAGGACACATCCCTGGTGTACACCTTTCCCAATTTTGAACCATGCAGTGTTGCCCTGCTCTGTTCTGACGACTGCCTCTCGGTCCAAGTACAGGTTTCGCATTAGCATGATTAAATGTTCTGGGATTCCCATTCTTCTCAGAGTCAGCCACAGTTTGTTATGATCCACGCAGTCAAATGCCTTTGCATAATCAATGAAACACAGATAGACATTCTTCTGGTATTTTCTCCTTTCAGCTAAGATCCACCTAACATCAGCTACAATATCCCTAGTACCACGACCCCTTCTAAACCCAGCCTGGACTTCTAGCAGTTCTCTGCTGATGTACTGTTCCAGTCATTTTTGGATAATCTTCAGTAGAATCTTGCTTGCATGTGAAATCAATGAGATTGTTCTGTAGTTTCCACACTCAGTTGGGTCGCCCTTCTTTGGGATGGGAACAAATATAGACCTCTTTCAGTCAGTTGGACAAGTGGTTGTTCTCCAGATTTCTTGGCACAACTTGGTGAGCACATCCAGGGCAGCATCTGTTAGCTGAAATATGTCAGTTGGTATACTAGCTATTCCTGGGGCCATGTTTTTTTTTCTATTTCCTTCAAAGAAGCTTGAACTTCAGGTAGCTCTGATGGCCTAGTAGCAAGAAGCTGCACTGCAATCCCAGAGGTATGTGGTTCAAATCCACCAGATGCTGTGCTGGAGAAGGAGGGGCAATCTCCTCCTGTACCAGTCAGATCTGATCTGACGGTACACACAAAAAGTAATAAAAATAAAATAATAATTTAAAAAAAAAGCAGCTTGGACTTCTTTCTTCATCACCATAGGCTCTTTTTGCTCATATGTTATTTCCTTAAATTCTTCTGTGTCTGCCAATTCCTTTTGATACAGTGACTCAATATATTCTTTCAATTTTCTTTTAATACTTCTGGATCATTTAATATCCTTCCTAAAGCATCCTTGATTATAGCAACTCAAGATTTGAATTTGTTTTTCAGTTCCTTGAGCTTAAGACATGCAACAAACTGACGACGACAAAGACTGAGTGTCTGGCTATGGTAGTCAGCAGCAGACTTAGGTCTTCTATTGCTGATGACGACTCCGGCCCCTCTGCTCAGCCTCATGCACTTGTAGGATAGCTATCACATCTAAGATATTTGTCCAGCCTCAGCAACAAGCACATTTTCTTTTCTTACTGACTATATGAGCAAGGGGTCCAGGTCAGGGCAGACAAAACTCTGTATTCTGTATAAGGCCTAACCATCACATCACTCTAATAACAAGAGAGCTGTCAGATGATTACCAGTTGTTGTGTACCCAAGGGGACTTTTTTTTTTGATCCAGAGTGAATTTTCAGGGATTTAGTTAAAGTAGATTGTGTTATTTCAGGGATAATACAAACTAACATATCAGCTGTATGGGATTCAGAGCAGGAAAAGGCAACGACTTAATGTTTGAAGAATATCAGACAGTTTTCAAATAGTTCCCAGTGCTCCTGGTGAATTCTGACTCACCCTTCCCCAGGTTTCCAAGGCTTTATATCTTTACAAGAGCAGACCACTTATTCCCCCCCACCCCCCACCCCAGAGGGACTGGTGGACTTGAACCACTAAACTTAATGGTTAGCAGCCAGTTATATTATATATATATTATATACATTATACACATTACATACATTATTGAAAGGGCTCCTTTCTGACTGACTGTTAGCTGCACCAAGTAAAGATGACAGTTGAAATAACTGACCAAGTACTTTAAATTGTCTATGTGACCTTTAACTTCCTGACTGGCCACAGTACCTTTTCAGCCAATTATATCATTTTTAAGTTCCTGAAATAAATTCTTCTTTTAGCTTTAAATGAGATTCTCCATTTCTTCTATTAGATCTTGGATTTTGCCTAAAGCATGGAGTGTTTAAAGTGAACATTTTGGTTTTCCTCCAATAGTGTTGCAACTATTTGCAACTTCATTAAGTCCATTTTGTCTGGTAAGACTGGAAAAAATTCTTTAATTCTACATGAAGTAGAAACAGCAAAGGTTAACTAGTATGATTTTAATTATGAAGCGATTTTGTTCCTAAATTCACTTGTGCAGTGTTATGTTAGCTGTTTCTTAAATGGAAAATGCCCTTAAATTCCAAATATAAGAGAAACTTCCCATATAAGAGGGCTTGTGCAGTGTGACTTAAGGCCCAGCTGGGAGTCCCCATTCCTCCCTTTCCATTCTGTTTGATGGTTCCTTGTCATTTAGATTCTACCTAAAGACTTCAGGTGTGTCTTTTCTGGGAAAGGGAAGCATGCTTGTTTCCCTTTAAGGAGTTATTCGACCAAAGACAGGCTTGTCTTGGCACAATTCATACATGTCACCAATGATTCCACCTTAGCTATTGTGAAAATGAAATTTCAGGAGTAGAGGAAGAATGTTAGTTTAGTTTATACTAATCAGGGCTCTTCTCCCACCTCAGGGATCAATTCTGTGTAGGGGAGTGGCTTAGATGAGAATGTACACTAACGAGCTATTCATTTATTGTATTATCATTGTTAGAAATCTTCAGCTTATCCTTCAAATTATATGACACAGAATTATCATCTCCTTTGACTATGTCTACCAGTACTATAGTTAGAGCCTAAGGGACGCTTAACTATTGTCAAATTCACTACCACACAATCCAATTTATGAGATTACCACCAATGTCAGAACACTTATCTAATAAGTCTTTCTGAGGAAAATATATTTATAACTAAAATCTCTCTAAATTAATGCCAAGGAGCTGGTACAGTTATAGGTCATCAGTTCACATACTCAGTCCCTCTTTTACCTCTCTACTTTATCCTCGATCCCAGTTCTAAACTTCAGCCAAACACCCACATGAATAAGCTTACCAGGCACTTTCCGGTTTCTGGGTCACATGCGTCACTGTGATTGTTGCACTCACAAGGTACACAGGGGGCAATCAGAGGACGGGGTTTCCCGACACCCACTTCAGGAAGCTGCCCTCTGTGGTAGCCAGGGGCACAGTCCTGGATGCCAAAGGAGAGAAAGTGACATGGAAGACAGGATGAGCTCTGGTCATTACTCAGACTCAGAGTCATTGCAAAGACAGGAGGCTGCTTTTCACTTCAGCCTCTTACCTGACAGGAGAAGCCAGCAGTGCCAGGAGGACAGAGGCAGCTCTCTAGAGGAAAGGCTGGCAATCCACCCGCATACAATTCAGCTTTCTGGCCCACCTCCATGGAAATGTTTGAGATCCTGTGAAACCATTATGTTAAGAAGTGCCAGAATAAATATTTAGAATAATGCTTTCGAGAAACACAGCATATGACATAATAATATTTGCATAAACCTGTATTAAACCAAAAGAGTCCTGGGGGCACAATGAATAAAGTGTTTGCCTCCTAACAGCAGCTCACGCTCACCAGCCACTCAGCAGGAACAAAATGAGGCAATCTACTTCACAAAGATGACAGCCCCAGGAATCCCAGAGGGCAGTTAGATCTCTGTCCTGTGAGTTCAGGCCCTATGAGTGGCAATCAATGGCACTGAGTTTGTTATTTCAGTTTCACATGAAACCAGAGCTTTGTTCCCTGGTTAGAAGTAATTCCTACATGATTGTAAATAAAAAGGACTCAATGACATTAGCACTGTCGTTATACTGGGAGGTTGTCAGTTGATGTTTTAAAACTTCAAAATAAAATTAGTGACATACACCCAAAAGATCTCTTCAACTAATAGTTTGGCCAAAATTGTGTTTTTTCGCAATGAGAGAAAGTACTAAATGAGCAGCTGACAACATTCAATGTACATTTTTCCCAAGAAATGCAAATGTTGTTTTTGTTATTTGAAGTCAAGTTGGAACTGACCCATTGCTGACTTTCCAGCAGGTTTTCAGAGGCAGTAAATTGTACAAGACCAAACAATAGATTTTTTCTTTTTAATTTATCTTCATTTAAGATACCACCATTATGTACTTTTTAAAAAAATCTACATTAGCAAAGAGAGATGGGTAGTTCACGTCATAATTCATACATTTCATAAAAATGCTACTGTTTGGTAAGGTTTGGTATCACGGGTATCAGAGTTGACTGTGGTAACTATGGGAGCCTCATTGCCCTTGAATCTATTTTGACTCCCATAGACCCTTCTCTGAGTGAAACTGCTGCTTGCTCCCTCGGAGCATCTGGTGGATTCAAACTGTCAACCTCAAAGTTAGCAGCATGGCTTGCTACATAAAATACACCAACAGAAATACTCCTTATAGCAGATAATAAGGAGCAAATGTCAAAATCTTCTCAATTCTATACCAAATAGGGGGGAAAATCGCAAGATTCTGGAGGACATTTCCACACACCTGCTTTGTTGTAGTCCTTGGCCATAGGAGGCCTTGATGAGGATGTACTCAATGTTGCTAAGGATGGACATAAAGTCTGAGCGTGTCACAGGCTTTTCAGAGACAGAGTTAAAATATTTCCAAAAGTCCTGTGGATGAGAAACACATTCTATGAAGAATACAAATTCTCAGAGGTATACAAATTTCCAAAGAACATTCTGCTTTTAAAAAAAATAAATAAATTTTTTTTTATACTGGTTTACTTACGAAGTTCAGATACATTGTTTTTCCACACTGGATCTTTCCCATTTCCTTTATCCACCACCCCCCTCTACTGACCAAAGTGTGTAACCCTATGATTAACATCCCAACCCCACCCCACCTCCCTCATGGATCCCCATACACATTCTACAATAATGCTATTATACAGTATTAGTCCTTATGGGGCTGAGTCAGAATCTGCTGCTTTCATTATTTTTTTCCCCAGAAATAAATGTAGTTCTTTGTGTGAAACTGAATTTAACTGAGGAAGACTCCTCGTGACTCCCATGGGGACAAGGATAGTGTCATAGTAACTTGTTGATAGACATGTGTGACCACACAATATTACCTGCAGAGCAAGCTGTACAAATCTGCAGAATGGATGCACATCTGTCTAGTTTAAGAGAGTCCAAAGACTTCTGTACTAAAATGATACTTTAGAGCCAGCAAAATAAATTTAAGATGTAGTCCCCACCAAATTAAATTAGCACGAGCCTAACATACAGGTCTTGAGAATAGGAAGTAAGATTTCTGGAAATCTTGCTAAATCTCCTGGAATTTTTAGCTCCAAGATATTCTTGTTGATTCTTTCAGAAGCTGCTGCAAAATTTCATTGCACTGACGGTGACGTTTACATTAAAGAACAAGCATAATAAAATCTAGTCGTCATCACCTCTTTCATTATCACTTCTTGATTCTGCCTCATGCCATTTTCAGGTGCAGGTATGTCCACATAGATGACTTGCTTTCTGGCTCGACCTCCTTTGATGAGAACTTGGGGCTCAAAGTTAGAGGTGCCAATGCCATCCACAGAATAGAAGGCCACAGTGTACCTCAGTCGGCCACCATAGGCTAAGAGCTATTCAAATAATAAATAGATATTTATTTCTTGAGCAAAGCATCAGTTTAAACACATTTTAGTAAGGGCTTTGGAATTTGAAAGAAAGCTTGTTTAAATACGCAATTTTAAGATTTATCAAATAGAACAATAAAAGACATGAATAGGACTTTCTAAGAATCAAATCCCTATGCATATCAACAGAGTAAGAAGAAAACCCATAGAACGTGAAAAATATTTAGCAATCACATAACTGATAAAGAACTTATATTTAAAATTTGAAGAATACGCCAGCATCTTAACAAGAAAAAGGTAAACAGCCCTATCACAAAATGAGTGCAGGATATGAATGGACACTTCACCAAAGAAGACATTCAGATAGCAAACACACACGGAAAAAAATGTTCAAAATCCCGAGCTATAAGAGAGATGCAAATAAAAATAACTATGAGATATCATTTCACATCAGCAACAATACAAAGTTCAACAAGGCAGCAAACAAAAGCTAGTGAGGTTGTGGAGAGATTGTAACTCTTATTCACTGCTAGAAGGAATGAAAAATGATACAGCCAATGTGAAAAATGATCTGGCTCTTTCTAAAAGAGTTGGAAATAGGAATACCATGTGACCCAGCAATTCCACTGCAAGGAATATACCCTAAAGAAACCAGAACCACGACTCAAGAAGATGTATGCACACTCATGTGTATTGCTGTTATTCAAAGAGGGAAGAGACTCAAGTGCCCAACTGTAACTGAATGGATGGAAAAACTATGGTACATTCATACAGCAGAATATTATACAGGAATGAAAAACAATGAACATGTAAAACATTATACAACAAGGAAAGAGACATCCTACCATCACCCAAACTGGAGACATGATGTGAGATGAGACCTTGGGGGAAGGAGGGAATGAGCCAATATTGGAAGGACTGGGAATTCTGTTGGCCAGTTAGTGGGGGAGAAAGTAAATATTGGCAGGCCTGAGAACTTTGGAAAGCTTAAAGCCATGAGGCTTGAAACTGGAGTGCCTGAGGTGCACATTTTCATCAATCTGAAATATAAACTTTTTACTTCCTAAAAAAACCCAAGAACCCCCCAACCCATTACACAACATAGGGGAGTTTCGAGGACATTATGCTGAGTGGAATATCTCAGCTACAAAAGGACAAAACACTACATAACACAGCTGTTATAAAATAGGCTAGACATGGAGAGGGTTTAGAGAGAGAAAGGAAAATGAGTGGATAGATAACTCACACTGTATTAGAGCAGATGAGGAGAAGAACTGACCAAAAGGAATATATGATTAGACATTATATGTATGACAACAATCTAGAACAAGGAGTACATTGTGAAGTCAGCTGAAAGAGTGGAGGTGGGGGAGAAAATGTGCAACAACTAAAAAATACAGTAATAAACATTGTAAAAGTAAATAAAATTTTTAGAAACTGGAAAAAATTATCAAATGGGTAAAATATGTTGTACTAAAGTCTATTCCCTTCAATTCTATTTTATTACAATATTGTCCCAATCTATAACACTTCTTGCCATAAGTAAAATATAGCCTCCAAAATAACCATTGTGGTGATAAATCTAATTCTTTTTGGGATCCTTTGGATTAAGAACGATTAAGAATGAAGCATAGCTATTGGAACAGTAGACAAATATTTGCAAATTTTAAAAATTCAGAATGAATTCAGATACAGACTCTAATGTTTATATTAGCAAAAATATAATTCAATTTCTTCCAAGATGACTTTGTAATGTATATTTACCCCTAAATTAAGAGTTCATAAGAAGAATCTGCTGGATAATAATACCTAGAATCATAAAAAGAAAAACCAAAAACTTCAAATTGACTGCTATTGAGTGAGTTCATTTGTCACTCACAGAACCATTGGGTTTCTGAGGTTATAAATGTAATGGGAAGAGACTCAACTTTCACTCTCAGAGTCACTGGTAGATTCAAACTGCCAGAGAAGATGGTCTTTGAGTTAGCAGTGCAACTCCCATATAGATTATCATCAAAGCCCTCACCTAAACTCATAATAGGTCTCTTATCAGCATACAGACTTTTAAAAAAAAATTATCAAAGGATTGCTTTAGGAAAGAGAAAAGTGATCTGAACAAAATGTGAAACCTAGTTGAAAGAGACTGGAGTGTGTTCTGACTTGAAATTATACACTTACAGCCCCAAGGTCAATGCAGTGCACCTCACCTGATCTCCCTGGAACTGATCCGGCAGCCGCCAGTAAAAGGGTTCTGCTTGGATATGACTCTGGACAGTTCTGGCATCCAGTAAGACATCGGGGGCCTGATAATACACCCCCTCAGTGGTACCCTGTAGGTTACTTTGAGAGACCACACGCAGAAGAGACAATTCTGGGACCAGCATCACCTAGTCATTTAAGGAAGGAGAACACACTTAAGGAGATGGATTAAATGCACAAGTGAATTTTTCAGATTCTACCATCATTTCACTGACAATATGGCTTTATTATTAAAATAAGAACAATAAATGTATTTATTTTATTCTGTATTGAAAAGAACTGAAAATGCTGTAAATAAGTGTATTTAGTGTTAAACTATCATTATATTGAGTCAATGTTATAAACATTTTGAGATGCTACAGTTTAACTCCTCTCCAACTAAAGATTTTGCTAGATTAGCTAAGATGCAACACTGAATGCCTTTAATTTAAGTCATTCCCTCGTCCCTAACCCTGAAGGGAGAATCAGAGTTCTGACTCATGCACTAACAAAAATCCACTTGCTCACTGCTCTTGCATTAGAACTTACTCACAGCTGATTCTCTATTGTTCCAAGGCTGTAAATCATGTGAGAGGAAATTGCTCATCTTTCTCTTTTGGAGCTGCTGGTGGATTTAATCTGAATTTGGGTTAGCATTGTAATTCTCTTTAGACTATACCAACAGACCTCCTAACACCCTAAAATTTCTGATGCCATAGAATAAATTTTAACATCAACTTCCCTTAGTCCTACCCAGCTCCCATGGGAATCTGTGGCTAAAAGGAGAACATTTTCATTGTATGTATAACTTACTGGAACTCTCACATAGTCTTCCAATTCTGTGCATACTTGTGAAAGCCCAAAACAGAAACATGGGGTGCAACCCACAGGGTTGTCAGCTTCAAGCGCATAGGTACCACTTTTACATATGTTGCAATGATGGCCAATAACATTTTCCTACAGAGAAGGAAATTAATAAACTCATTTTTACCTTAAAAAAGAGTCCTGATTTCTAGCAGACAAACTCAAAGTAGAACACATGAGCAAATATGGATCAATGACATCACAAGAACTAGCTGTTCCCTTGGCAAGATTCCTCATTTCTTAGATCATCAGTGTTCTCAAAGACCCACTGAGTCTCAAATATCTCTGATTATCAGTCATTTTGCAAATACAGACTTCCTGACTCAAACTCACACCTCTGGGACAATGGCCACTTCAGGTATGGGCAGGAATGATTATGGATTTCCAGGTGATTCTAACAACCAGGTAGGGTGTGATAACTAAGCTTGGTCCCTTCCTACAATGAGAATCCCAATATAATACATGTTGTTGTTGTTATGTGCTGTCAAGTCACTTATGACTCATAGCAACCCTGTGTACAACAGTCCTAAACCCTGCTCTGTCCTGTGTCAATCACAGTCTCTGACACACCCATCCAGGTTACTTAAGTCACTGAATCAATCCACCTCATAGAGGGTCTGCCCCTCCTGAGCTATTCCTCCACCTACCCAAGCATAACATCCTTCTCCAAGGACTGGTACCTCCTTGCAACCTGTCCAAAGGATGTCAGACAAAACCTCACAATCCTTGCCTTCAAGGAGCAGCCCTGTTTAACCCTCTCCAGGATGAATATAGTACATAGTAAGTTTAAAAAAAAATATAGACTGATATTTACTTTACTGTTGTTGATTGCCTTTGAGTCGAGCATAACTCATAGCAACCTTATGAACAAAAAGGCCTGAAGCCCTTCTACAACTATGGACATTTATTAAAGTTCACAGAGTTTCTGGAGGCTTGTTTTTAGGAAGTGGATGCCACTTTACTCCAAGGCAATAACAGCTAAATGAGTTTTTCCTTTATCATCTCCAGTTACTAAAGAATCCATTACTATTTGGCTTCCATGCACTCTCTCCCTCTCAACCCCTAATAAAGGCCTACAGAAAGGACCAGTGACCTCCTAGTGACAAACTACAATGCAAACATGAATGGAAGGAGATGAAAAACTAACATTGAACTGTCTGGGACCATAAAAAAGATTAGTTGCCTTTACTTTAGCTAGCACATAAAAAAGAATAATTACCAGAAATTCTAAACCACAATTTTTTGTGAAATCCTGTATCATCTATTCTACTTGTACAGTCAAGGCATGAACAAAAATATAAGAGTGTTTTGTCAAATTAGTTCTATCACTCAACATTTAAACAGTAAAAATTCCATTTAAATTGCCCACCCCTAATTCTGGAATAACATATTCAGAGAATTTATACTCCAACCTAAAAGGTAGTGTGAACTCCTTTCATGAAGACTGATTAAGAGGAGAGCCTAGGACCTCATTTAAATAGTTAAGAACATGGAAGGCCATAATGACTGTGGGAAAAAGGGAAAAAGAGGGATGTACACAGCAAATACCTTGCAGGAGCAGATACCAGTTTCCTCTTCACAACTGCAAAGTCCTTGTTTCTGATCACAAGTGTCTGCTAAGGTCCCTCTCGGGTCACAGTCACAGGAAACACAGGTTGGGAAGCCTCTGTGACCCAGAGTGCATTGGTCACAGCTCAGGCCCCCAAACATGGACTTGCATTTGCACTGGCCAGTTAACACATCACATTGGTGACTAGTGGACCCCACATGACTGCAATTGCAGGCCTAAAGGAAAAAAAGTGTAGATAAGTAAAAGTAGTGTTTCATAGTGTACTCATATCAGGCTGCAGGAACATACTAAGATGGGAACATTATCCAAAGGATCCCCTTTCTTCCTCACTGACTATGGATCCAGGCCACTGTTATCTCCATGGGAGCATATGTGCATTTTCCAGACCAACACAGGGAAGTTTAACCAATATTCTCAGTTTAGAAAACGTCAGTAACCCATTTTAAACACAAAATAATTTTGTCTCTTATAAAAATACAAACTATTTCTATGTTTGACTAGATAAAGTTACCTTCAAAGCTATATTGTTCATATATATTGTTCAACACCATTGAGTCCATTTCTCAACCCATGAAACAGTTCTACTCTGCACACACAGCCATAATAGAGCGCCTACACTGGATTTTTACATCTTTCGCCTTTTGGAATTAGATCCCCAGACCTTATTTCTAAGGGATCCCCATATAGGTTCACATTTTCAGCCTCTTGGCTAGTAGTCTAGTGCTTTATCATTTGCACCACCAGGGACTCATAAAAATTAAACATCATGTCAGAATAAAGTGAGTTACACCTTTCTCCTGGAAGATCATATACACCGAAAAACAAATAAAGGTCATAAAAAATTTTTTTTCATGAATTAGGATCAAAGTATTCTGTTGCTAACAAAAAGGTTAGCAGTCTAAACTCCCTAGATGCCCTGGAAAGGAGCGAGAATGGAATCCCTCGTAACATATTGACTACAACTAGAAAAATGAATAATTAGAAATCTACACACCATTGGAGACAGTCTCTTCTTACAAAGGCTAGAGCCTCAGAATCCCAACAGAGGATTACTACAAGTTGGAGTCAATAGTAGTGGATTTAGTGTTGGTATTTATCTTCTTTGAGGGAAAAGAGATGTGGCGGTCATATTCTGTAGATATCGGCCTTGGAGACCATGATGCAGTTCAACTCTGCCTCACAGGGTTACTAAGAGTAAGAATGGCTCGACAGCAATGAGTAATTGTCAATTCCACAACTAAATTTTCAAAGAAAACTTAGAATATATCTTGAGAGTGCTGCTTATTCCAGTTTAAGTCTGAGAACTCATACTGATTCTCCATTTTAAATATTAATCATAAAGTTATTATGTTGTTATGTAGCATTGAGTTGGAAATGACTCATAGGTGACATTCCAGATTGTCCATCTTTCTTCTGTGGAGTATCTGGCAGGTTCGAACCGAGTGCCTTTGGGTTAGCAGCACAACTCCTTACCATTAGGCTACAAGAACTTCCTCAGAGCTATAAAATAGGTTAACATCAAGCAAATAGATTCACTAAAAGGGAAGAAACATGTGAAAATAAAATAATTCTCATTTACAAAAGCACAATGAGAACCATGAACACCTTGCATCCAAGCTCCAGGTCGTGGCCCCAGTATCCATCTTCACATTCTTGACACTTCCAACCTTGTGTGTGAGGAGGGCAGATGCATTCCCCGGTGTGAGGATCACAGGTATTCTGAGTGTGAGCACAATCACAGGCTGAAATAGTAAAATAAAATGGAAAATGGTTTTATAGCACAACTGGATAACCAATGACAAGAGTCGAGTCAGGCCCAAGGATACCAACTGTTCCTTTTCTACAGACTTCATGACTGTAGGCCTAACCATCAAGAGAGGCTGATGGGAGACAGGGGTTGGGGAAAATAATGAAGAGTGGAAATACTTCATGATGTGGAAAGAGCACCCACAGCTAATATTTACCAAGCATTTATGCCAAATACTATAATAAATACTTTTACACGCAGCTTTCACAGAACTTCTCATAGCAAATTTTAATTATCATCTTCACTTTATAGATGAAGAGATTAAGGTTAAATGAAGTCAAGTCAATAACTGAGGGTTAATACTATTAGTAGGTGTCAGAACCATAACATAAAGCTTGTGCTGATACCCAGAATAGGAATAAGGAAAAAGAAAAAAAGAAAGTCCAAGATTTTATTTTAAAAGAGAAAAATAAAGACGTTTATCAGAATTTAACCAGAGGCTAAAGCTGATCTCCCAGTAAAAAGTCTCAAATAACAAAATCAAGGGCTTACGTGTGCAGCCACCATCCTGAGATGCGAAAAAGCCACGTGCACATCTGTCACATCTTTTCCCAGTCACTCCCAGGATGCAGTGGCACTGGCCCTCCTCTGTGCAATCATTGGACAGGGACCCCGTTGGGCTACAGTTACAGGGCAGACAGCCTAGTCCACTGCCCCACCCATAGTAGCCACTCTGTTTTGCAAGACAAGGATAAACTGGAGTGAAATCAGTTCCAATATGCAATGAACAAACAGCAAAACGTCTTCCAAGTTAAACACAGGGTGCTTCAGAGACACAAAACTATCTCACACATTTCTCGCCTTTAATAAGGTAAACATATAGTCACCAATCAACTCTTTTTGACAATAATGAATTAAAATTTATTTGAACCAAAGTTAAGGTGTCAACTATAAAGACGACCGACAAAGACTTTAGGTTTATGCAGTGAACACAGCCGCTTACCAAGCACTGGTCACACCGCTGTCCTGTCACATGTGCCTTGCAGTCACAAAGTCCAGTCTCATGGTGGCAGATGGGAGAGAGGGAGCCTTTTCCATGGCATTCACATGCTAACAGAGGTGAAAAAGACCAGCACTGAAGTATTTATTCAAATGAATATGGCTAGAGTAAAATATTTTTAGTCTCCCAGGTAAGAAATTTTAAACCTGAAAATTTTAAATTATCAACCAATAAGTTATTCTGTAATAATTTTTAGATATTTTTATAGAGAATAAGCCTATGTAGATTTAGTATAAGAAACCATCACAGAGAAAGATGACAGGTGCTACTTATAATAATAACCAGCCTTCTAATTTACCCAGTTGCATGAATTCCTCGCAAGTTAAAATATGCTACCAAAAAATAGCAGTAAATAATCATTAAAATCAAGCTACAGATATTTTAAAGTTAATGTAGCCATTTGTTCTCATTTTAAGTACATATCAATTCAACAATTTAAAGCTAATGTAATAATATGTATGTGTGCCAGAAGAAAAATCGTTGTCTTTAGTTGTGGTTCTAGAGAAAAGTATTAAACATACCATGGACAACCAGGAGAACCAATAGATCTGTCTTGATGAGGGTGAAACAAAATTTCTCCTTGAAGGCAAGGATTTTTAACTTCTCTCTCATATATTTGGGCATAAGGCCAGGAGGGACCAGACCTTGGAAGAGGACACATGCTTGGAAGGATGGAGGGATAATGCAGGGAGGAAGACCCCAGATGGGATGGATTGACATGGTAACTGGCTCAATGGATGTAGGTGTGTCAGAGTCAGTGAGACTGGTTTAGGATAGGACAGGATTCAGAGCTATTATCACCATGAGTCTCAGGCAATGTGATGGCATGCAATGACAAACCAAAAACATATGAACAAAATGAAACATAGAAACAAAAACATATAAATGTGTATATATTGATATATATCAATATGATATTTAATAATTTTATTAAATTAATGAAAATATTCACTTGAACTATGTCATGAGTCATTTGTAATTCCAGTAAATTTATCTTTAGGCTAAGTGGGTGTAATTTTATTTACAATTACAATATTGATGCTTAAAAATACAAAGTCTCCTAACTCTTCAAAGTGATACAATTCACGGAATTAAGATAGATTACTTATGACTGTGTAGACTCCAAATGTGTGCAATCACTGTAATAAGGCACAGAAATGTAAGAAAGGAAAAGAATAATGTTCAGATATTATAAAAAAGGAAAACATATGAATTTGTATGATACCATATGCAATCAAAGTAATAGTGTGTAGTGGAAATAGGAGTTAGAAAGTCAGAAGAGAGGTGTGGGTATGTTGCTTCCTTAGCTGATCATGGCTAAGCTTACTCCAACTTCTATTTTCTCACCCGTGAATGGATCCATGCTAATAACTCGGGCACAAGAGCAGAAAAAAGCTGTGGCTATTATATACTATCCTTTGGGGATTTATTTCATCTTTACTTATTGCGAAACTTTGCTCCGTGAGAGATGCTATGGGATTCTCCTTCTGTGTGATTTATTGCCTCTGAAAACGCATGGGAAGGCCAGCTATGATTTGGTTGTGACACACAAAAACAATCACCACAACTATACACACGCACATGTATAAAGGTTGTATCAGTCGAAGAAGCCCTGGAGAAGTGGTAGGTAAGGTTCAAGTTGCTAACTAAAAGGCTGACAGTTCAAATCTGCCAGCAGCTATTCTAGAGAAAGATAGGCATATCCTTCCATAAAGATGTACCCCTTTGCATTAAATCCAATGGAAGGTCACTATGAATAAGGTTCAATTGGAGGGCACTATGTTTGGAAGCAGGAGTGGCATCCACTTCCTAAAAACATGATTCCAGAAACTCTATGAACTTTGATAAATGTCAATAGTTGTAGAGGGGCTTCAGGCCTTTTGTTCATAGGGTCGCTATGAGTTGTGCTCAACTCGAAGACAACAACAACAATATGTTCCGTTTACTCTATGTCTAAGAGTTGGACAATGACTAAGGGTGATTGAAGAGTTGATGCCTTTAAGTTGTAGTGCTGGAAAAGAGTGCTGAAGAGCCCACGAACTGCCAAAAGAGCAGTCTTAGAGAAGGTGTAGCCAGAATGCTCCTTGGAAGCAAAGGTAATAAAACTTTTCACATATTTTAGGCATGCTGCTAGGAGAGGTTATTCCTTGGAGAGGGACATCATGCTTGGGAAGGTACGTGGAGAGTGAAAGAGAGGAAGAACCTTAAGCAGGTGAGTTGACACAGTGACTGTGACAATGGGCTTGAGTGTGTCAGAAAGTGTGAGGATAGCAGAGGGTAGCACAGGGCTCAAGTTGCTTGTTCATAGGATTGCTTTGAGTTGTACTCGACTAGATGGCACCTAACAACAACAACAATGATGTTTGGTTTTGAATGTTGGCCCTAATGATCTAAGATAAACATTGTAGATTAGTGTTTATTTCCCTACCCTGCCTCTTGAAATTCTATCTGCCTCATAAAACCAGTTACCATCTCCCTCACAAACATGCTGTTCTCTCAGCAGTACCCTTCATCATTTCTATCCTATGGAGCAGTTCTCCAAAAGTGGAAGGGTATTTATTTTCTCTTCCCTTGTCCTTTCATTTACAGTATTTAATCAAGCTGGCATAAGCCAGAAAGGAAAGAATCTGCTCTTGGGTGTATACTAGAGCATCAGCATTAGCACAAGAAACTAACTACTCAGAGCTACCTAGTAGGTTGAGCTTGTCTGACACTTCTAACTAGATGAGTGAAGACTTGACAGAGCTGCACACTCTGAATTTGGCTTCATCCAGCGCACATTTACCTCGGCAGTTCTTAGCTGTCACCGCGTCCCCGTAGAAACCATCAGCACAGCGTTCACAGTGGGCTCCCCCTGTGTTCCCGATGCACTTGAGGCACTCCCCAGTGACTGAATCACAGTTACCAGGCTTCAAAGGGTCCACATTACCACTGCAATTGCATGGGATGCAAGAGTCACCAGGCACTGTTGGGTTTCCATAGTAACCGTCTGCGCATCTGTGGAAAGGATTGAAAGTAGCATCCAAATAAATGCAATTATTCAAGAAACTGCCACACCATTCAGTGATTCTGTGAATGGCTCATAAATCAGACTATTTAACTTAAGATGCACTGTAGAAGAGATGCAATTGCAAGTTCAGGCGTTCCTAAAGTGTCTCCACCCACTGTGAAGAGCAGACAGTGTGTCCAAAAGGGGCAGGAATAAAAGCTGATGAACCCCATGCCCAGAGCAGTGCCTTCACTGAGGGATTCACACACTCCCTCCCTCACTGTCTTCATGGAGACTTACATGTGGGAAGAGGTAACACAGGCCTTCAAGTGCCTGAAGGAAAACTATTAAATCAAATCGCCTGTGACATCTAGAAATACCCAGAGTGATGCAATATAAATGTGTGCAAACTCGACTACCAGCTCCTCACTGCTTCATCTTATTCTTGATGAGAACTCAAAGACCTCACAGAGATAGAGTATTGTTCTTTAAAGATCCCCAGGAAATTCTGAAACTAATTTTTTAATTGATGTACTAGTCTTTCTCTATACTTATAATGAAATGATAATTATATATTAAAACCCAAAAATGTATTTTAATGAACATTTTTTAAAACCCCAAAACTCATCCAATTTATATTTAATTAAACCACTTAATGCAACATTTGAAGAATGAAGCTGAGTACCTCTCGCACCATGTCCCCGAGTATCCTGGGGTACACTGGTCACAGCGCATCTCCCCTCCCTCATGCAGGTGACAGGTGGGGCTGAAACTGTGAAATAACACAGGTGAGCACAATTCCCCTGGCCCTGCGCAGGTGACCCGGCATGTCTAAATAGGAAGGGTCCACTTCTCTGTCCTCATGGGCTTCCCTGAGCCCTAGCCTCTCCACCCAGAACCCAAGGCTTCTTGCTCTCTCCCACTCAGGGGTTCATTCGCATCACTGCTTCTCACCTCAACTCTGTCCCATCTGTCCCTCGACATGAAGTGCTCTACTCCTCTCTTGACCTTTGTTGGCCCTATTCATTCTTAGCTTTCACCTCTCTCAGAGGTCCGCCAGAGGACCTTGACCAAGATGGACACCTCTCCTCCGGGCACCATTACCTATATACACTCACTCATTACTTCCAAGTCAAAACCACTTACAGCTGACCCTCTACTGGGTTTCCAAAGCTAAATCACATGGGAGGACATTGCCTACATTTCTTCTTTACACTGCTCCACCAAACTGTCCTTGGGCCCTCTGTCTAGAATGTTCTTTTGTGCTTGTCTGTCAAATCCTTCTTCTCTTCTAATTCTTAGAGCTGGAGCACCCTGAAGAGGTCTCCTGTCACCCAGGTAGATTCTGTACTTCCTCCTTTGTGTCTTCTACAGTGATAAATAACTAGACTGCCATTTATTTGGGACCAGCAGTCACATACAGTCTTATACTCAGAGTACCTCGTATGATACCTGGTACACAGGAGGCACTCAATAAATGTTTGCTGAATCAGGGACTGAACGGGCCCTCTCTCTTTTCCCCCATGCACACATATGTGGAAAAAAATCCCTCAGGCCCAAAGAGGTTTTCGTCATCTCTTTGCCTCTTCACCTATTAGCAGACACACAACTTATGTGTGAAAGAATTGACGTCCAGCATTAGACCAAGAAGGAAATCTGCCCCAGTGTCCTTGCTGTCATATGACTTTGCTTGAATATTTTAAAATACCAAATTTGAGGTTTTTTTTTAAAAAAGACAATCCATTCCTCTACCTTGTATCCTAATTAACCCTAGCCCTAACCTTGCATCCTAATTCACTAACACCCACATAATTCCATACTCTTAAGCTCAAAGATTTGCTCTATTTATCGATTTTCATATGGGAAAAGTATTTCCCCAGATACTTGTAGGGAGAGGTTGCTACTTCCATGGGCAGGAACATGTGGGCCGCGTGTGCTAGGCAGGGGCAGCTGGTGTGCTGGCGCCATACTTGTTAGAGGCTATGGAGAGAGGGCAAGCGCAGGGCTGGCAGTCTCCAGGGGTTCCTCGGGAAGGCTCGCCATAGAAACCAGGCAGGCAATGCTCACAGTGGTCCCCAGTGGTGTTGTGCATGCAAGCCTAGGACACATAAAAAGGAGACAGTTTAGGTTCCTGCAAGGGATTTTATGAATTAAATGTGAAACACAAGTGGGTAAAACAACAACAACAACATAAAAAAAAACCCAAAATGCAAAACAAGCCACCAAACTCTCAGTGTAATGAGGAAGAGTTTGTTTCAGATTAGCTACTTAAATGTTTTATTTGTATAAATGGCAGAGGTAAAAATGACTTCTAAACAGAACCAGATCTGCATTCCTGGGGGAGACTAAATATTGGGATAAGACATATCAAATACCCGCTTCCAGCCCTTGGACAACAGGAAGCACAGGACTGTGACCCCTTAGAGACAATAAACAGATGACAAGGTCCATCCTCTGCATGGCCTGCAGAGGGAAAGCTGCTCCAGCAGGGAGCCTGAGCAGAGTTCTGACCAAGTCACAGAGATGAGGACAGTGAAAGCTCTGACACCTGCCCTTTCAATAGGATCCTTTAGACGCCTAATGACACAAAGTTGCTCAGCCTTGGTGGTACAATGGGTGGTACTGAGCTGGCACTGAGAAACTATCCACAGCTCTGAGGGAGAAAATTCTATCCCGGTCCTCTAATGACTACAGTCTAGACAGAGCAGTGCTTCTCTGTAATGTGGAGTCGGAACCAATTCAACAGCACTGACAACTGCAACATGCAAACTGCTCATCTGCAGAGTGAGTCCTGTTTAGGGATGGATTATCCAATAAGCAAGACATGTATTTTCTTAGGGCATCAATGAAGTGGAGACATCAGTTGTACAAAGCAAAGATTCATAGATGTCAAAGAGATAGGACATGAGGAAAGATGAGTACCGTGTTGGAGGGCACTGACACAGCTCCAGGATGGGAGGATGTGCCCTTGGTCAGAAGCAACTCATAATTGGCCCTCCAGATGACTTTTGGAAATCACGTGAGAGACTGTCCATCTTTCTCCCTGGGAAGCATTGATGATTTGAACCTCCAGAGAGGCACCACTTTTGGGCTAGCAGCACAAAATAATGTTCATTCAGAATCACAAAAGTGTCCATACACAAAGGCTTTAAAGCCACTACCACTTCAATACTCAGTGACACCTTGTCTCCTGCAGTCTGCTCCTCTGTATTGAAACTTATCTTAATATCTGGATTTTGAGGGAGAATTTCTCTCTAATAAACAAGGTGTGGGAATAGGCAACTCTTATTATATTCATTTACTGCATAACTGAGAAGTAACTGGGCAAAGGCAGATTTCATTAATAAATGCTAGGTCTCTTTATCTATAGAGAAGACATTCAAATTCACAAGTAAGCAGAAAAGGGGCACCAAAGATTACTAAAGTGTTTAGGCATTTATACACCTTAACTTGACCTTGAAAGTAGCAAAGAAATACCAGTGAGCTGCAAGCTGTTAGTGAACTGTAAACGGAAAACCTCACAAAGTTGAGAAACATTTGAATTCCAACCAGTGAGTATGAAAAATCCTTATTAAAAGCCCAGGTATTTAAAAACCTAAGAAAGCATAAAAGTGGGCCTACAATAACAAAGCTTACAAACAAAATGTAAAGCAGTCAAGCTGATTTGCAATAAGTTAACTGCCTGCAAAAATAGAATTCTTTTTTTTTTAAAGGAAAGGAACAGAGCCTCAGGAATGATTATAATATTCACCATGCAAACACTACTGCATATGTTCCTACCACCCAGATCTGATGCCTTTGAGTTGTAGTGATGAAGGAGAGTACTAAAAATCACATGAATTGCCAAAAGAAAAAAAATAAGTCTGTCATGAAGATGATGTGATCAGAATGCTCCTTGGAGCAAGGATGATAAAGCTTTGTTTCACATACTTTGGTCATGATGTAAGGAGGGACTAGTTCTTAGAGCAGAACATCATGCTTGGAGAGGTCTACACAGAAGGGGAAGACCCTTAACATAGTGACAGTAATAATGGGGCCAGGTATGTCAGAGACAGTGAGGATGCTACAGAATAGGACAAGGTTCGGATCCAATATTCCTAGGGTCACTATGAGTTCTTGTTGACTCCACAAAGTGTAGCAAGAACAAGCCGAGTCTGGAAAAGTATGGCATTCTTGAATTTAGACGGGTAAATAAATAAGCATATTGGAAGAGAGTATAAAGGTTCTGAATGCCACTTGATAATTACAGAGGAAGCACCAGAGATGGGGAACCATCCACTTGCAAATATTTATTTGTAAATATTGGCTTGGGCAAGGATCATCTATGACTGTTAAACTGAAGAAATTTTAATGAAGAGTAGGATAATTATATAGTCTTAAGATTTTCCCTTGAAACTGCTTACTAATTACAAAAAAGAAAACAGTAACTATAGGCCATCCTTAGTTTACAAGTGAGATTAACTCTCAACCATGTCTCTAATCTTTAGTGGAATGCGTCCATAAATTAGAACAAGTGTATACTGTTCTTATTTAGTTTTGCTTTAGTTCAAGAAACAATTTGTTGCCTTTTCAAAGATTTAAAATTTGCATACATAGCCAGTGAAGACTTTGGATGGGACAAGTAGGAGTTGTCCATGTCCATGTCCATAAATCAAACATTTATCCTCTGGGTCCTGTCTGTCCACACTGGAGAAACTGTTGTGATCATTAAAATGAGTATCACTAATCTTAGAGAAGTAGCAATGATGAAAAGGAAGAAAAAAGGGGAGTGAAGACACAGGATAGAAAGGTACTCACTATAAGATGGGGGTTTGATGAGACATTATAATTAATTTCATCAACCAAATGGAAATTGTGTGTGTATTGCTGTTGTTAGGTACTATCTACCCTCTGAACAACAGATGTGAACTTTATCATGTCCTGTGCTGTCCTCACATTTCTTGACACACATGAGCCAATTGAAGCAGACACTGTGTCGACCGTTCTTGTTGAGGATTTTCCTCTTTTATCGACCCTCCACATTTTCAAGCGTAATGTCTCTCTCCATAGAAAACCCTCTCCTAGAAACATGCTAGAAGTATGTGAGACAAAGCGTTATCATCTTTACCTCCAAGGAACACACTGGCTGGACTTACTCCAAGACTTACTTCTTTGTTCTTTTGACAGTCCATATTCAGTACTCTTCTCCAACACCATAGCTCAAAGGCATCAATTCTTTTTACTGTTATCCTTATTTATTGCCAGCTTTCAGATGTATAGCAAGTAATCAGAAAGACCATGTTGTGAATCAGACCCACCTAAGTCCTCATACTGACATCATTGCACCACGTTGGTAGCATTAAGATAGACAGCAAAGAGATTGAACCCTTTTAAATCCAGCTTGTATTTCTGGTAGTTCTCTGTCAGTGTACTGTTCAAGTTTTCTTCAGCAGGATTTTGCTGGTGATTGATATTAATGATATTCAATAATTTTCACACTCTGTAGGGTCACCTTTTTTTTAGAATGGGAATAAATATGGATCTCTTCGAGTCAATTGGCAAAGTAATTGCCCTCCAGATTTCTTGGCACAATTTGGTAAGCACATGCAGGGCAGCATCGGTTTGCAGAAATATGTCAATTGATATTCCATCAATTCCTGGGGATTTCTTTTTTGCCAAGTCCTTCAGAGCAGCCTGCTCTTCCTCTTTCATCACCTTTTCCTCTTGCTTATATGCTGTTTCTTGAAATTCTTCTGTGTCAGCCAATTTGTTTTGGTACAATGACTCTGTGTACTCCTTCCATCTTCCTTTAATGCTTCCTGAATCATTCAATATTCTGCCCAAACCATCTTTAAGCATTGCAACTTGTGGCTTGAATTTATTCTTTAGTTCTTTCAGTTTAAGAAATGCTGAGCAAGTTCTGCCTTTTTGATTCTCAAACTCCAGCTCCTTGAACATTATCTTGTCTATTATATATAAATATATATATTTCCAGGGACCTTTGGTGGTTTAATTGTAAGCAGTTATGCTGCCATCTCCAAGATATATGGTATGCATCCACCAATTACTCTGTGGGAGAAAGATGAACAATCTCCTCCCACACAAGTTACTTCCTCTGAAAAGCCACTGGAGGGTCAGCTAGGAGTCAATTCCAACTCAACAGTACAGAACAACAACAATAATGATAAACATAAAATTCCAAAATTAAGTAGTTACTGAGTAGGCATAATCTCAGATTAAACATTATGGAAGAAAGGACCAGTGAATTTAAAACAGACTGATAAAAGTTAAAATGAATTCACTGAATTAACTCAACATCTTTTAGTAGAGTACCAGTAAAAGATGACAAAGAGAAAGCAGCAGGGAAAAAAAAACTTGACTATTTTTATAAAAATGTGATACAAACTGTAACTCTTCAAATACTAGATCTTCAACAAGCACCAATGAGGATAAGCTTTTAGGGAATAACACCAAGACCCGTAGTGCAATTGCTCAAAACCAAGGACAAACAGAAAATGTCAATAGCAGACAGAGGCAAACACAAACAGAACAACATAGCCAAAAACCACAGACTTTGCAGTTGTCTAATTTGTAAAGATTGAGCCAACCCCTCTCCACGGAACAAATTCTTCCTCAAAATCATTCTCATTCTTGCATGTGCAGCTTTAAAAACATTGCAAAGGCTTCTAGCCATCTTCTGCACGAAAACAAACTCATTGCCAATGAATCAATTCAGATTCACAGCAAACCTATTGGACAAAGTTGAACCATAGGGTTTGTCAGATTGCAAATCTTGACTGAGGCTGAATACCACATCTTTCTCCTGAGGAGAGGTTGGTGTGTTCAAATCAGTTGACCTAAATTAGCAGTTGAATGCCTTAACCACAGTGCAACTAAGCTCCTTCCTGACTTGCGGTAGAGTTAAATAAAAACCAGACACCTATGCTGACTCAGGGACAACTTCCATTCATAAACTTAAAGATATAGGAACACTGCCACTCCTGTAGTCATTATCTTGCCTTACTAATCAATAATCATCTCAAAGAAGCACTTTTATGAAATGCAATCATCCTATTCCTCATCAAAATGCCCATTTTCAGCCGAAAGTCAACAGAACAT